ATTTCTTTCTTCAGAGACTTGAAGTTCTTGTCATACAGGTCTTTCACTTGCTTGGTTAGATTCACACCAAGGTATTTTATATTATTTGCAACTATTGTGAAGGGTGTCATTTCCCTAATTTCTTTTTCAGTCTGTTTATCTTTCATGTAGAGGAAGGCTATTGATTTGTTTGAGTTGATTTTATAACCAGCCACTTTGCTGAAGTTGTTTATCAGGTTTAGGAGTTCTCTGGTGGAAGTTTGGGGGTCACTTAAGTATACTATCATATCATCTGCAAATAGCGATATTTTGACTTCTTCCTTTCCTATTTGTATCCCTTTGACTTCTTTTTGTTGTCTTATTGCTCTGGCTAAGACTTCCAGTACTATATTGAATAGGTAGGGGGAGAGTGGGCAGCCTTGTCTAGTCCCTGATCTTAGTGGGATTGCTTCAAGTTTCTCTCCATTTAGCTTGATGTTGGCTACTGGTTTGCTGTAAATTGCTTTTACTATGTTTAGGTAGGGGCCTTGAATTCCTGATCTTTCCAAGACTTTTATCATGAAGGGATGTTGAATTTTGTCAAATGCTTTCTCAGCATCTAGTGAGATAATCATATGGTTTTTTTCTTTAAGTTTGTTTATATAGTGGATTACATTGATGGATTTCCGAATATTGAACCATCCCTGCATTCCTGGGATAAAACCTACTTGATCATGATGGATGATTGTTTTGATGTGGTCTTGGATTCGGTTTGCTAGAATTTTATTGAGTATTTTTGCATCGATGTTCATAAGGGAGATTGGTCTGAAGTTCTCTTTCTTTGTTGGGTCCTTGTGGGGTTTGGGAATGAGTGTAATTGTAGCTTCATAGAACGAATTGGGTAGTGTTCCTTCTGTCTCTATTTTGTGGAATAGTTTGAAGAGAATTGGTATTAGGTCTTCCTTGAAGGTCTGATAGAATTCAGCACTAAAACCATCTGGTCCTGGGCTTTTTTTGGTGGGGAGACTTTTAATGACTGCTGCTATTTCCTGAGGGGTTATGGGACTATTTAGATGGTTTATCTGCTCCTGGTTTAATTTTGGTACCTGGTATCTGTCTAGGAAATTGTCCATTTCATCCAGGTTTTCCAGTTTTGTTGAGTATAGACCTTTGTAGTAGGATCTGATGATTTTTTTAATTTCTTCCGTTTCTGTTGTTATGTCTCCCTTTTCAGTTCTGATTTTATTAATTTGGATACTCTCTCTGTGCCCTCTGGTTAATCTGGCTAACGGTTTATCTATCTTGTTGATTTTCTCAAAGAACCAACTCCTGGTTTTATTGATATTTTGTATTGTTCTTTCAGTTTCTATTTGGTTGATTTCAGCCCTGAGTTTGATTATTTCCTGCCTTCTACTCCTCCTGGGTGTATTTGCTTCTTTTTGTTCTAGGGCTTTTAGTTGTGCAGTCAACTTGTTAGTGTGTGCTCTTTCCAGTTTCTTTTTGTAGGCACTTAGAGCTATGAGTTTTCCTCTTAGCACTGCCTTCATGGAGTCCCACAAGTTTTGGTATGATGTGTCCTCATTTTCATTGAAATCTAAAAAGTCTTTAATTTCTTTCTTTATTTCTTCCTTGACCAAGTCATCATTGAGTAGAGAGTTGTTCAGTTTCCATGTGCACATGGGTTTTCCATTGGTTTTGTCATTATTAAAGACCAGTCTTATTCCATGGTGATCTGATAAGAGGCAAGGGATTATTTCAATCTTTTTGTATCTGTAGAGGCTTGTTTTGTGACCAATTATATGGTCTATTTTGGAGAAGGTACCATGAGGTGCTGAGAAAAAGGTATATTCTTTTGTTTTAGGATGAAATGTTCTATAGATGTCTGTTAAGTCCATTCGGTTCATAACTTCTGTTAATGTCAAAGTGTCTCGGTTTAGTTTCTGTTTCCATGATCTGTCCATTGCTGAGAGTGGGGTGTTGAAATCCCCCACTATTATTGTGTGAGGTGTAATGTGTGTTTTGAGGTACTTCATGTTTAATGTTCCTACCAGTATTGTGAGTTCTTGTTATTATTTGAAACGAACAGTTTCAAATAAAGTCAGTTAGTTTAACAATTCTATTGGGTGTATAATTTTTTCTGTACTTTTTATTGGCTTTATGTCTTTGAGATAGTCTCAATATCTATAGTCCAGTATCTCCTGCCTAAGCCTGCTGAGTGCTGGGATTATGGCTGGGTCACTGCCCAGCTTTGTGCTTGTATATATAATTTGCATTTGTCTGATTACTAATGGCATTTTCATCTTCTACTGGAATTTGTATCCTTTGTGAGAATTTGGATTTTTGAGGTAGCCTCACTATGTATCTCTGCCTGGCTGGACCAGGCTAGCTTTGAACTTGCCATCCTCCTGCCCCTGCTTTTGCCCCTTAAGTTTTTGGCAATAAACAGGTGCTACCACATCCTGCCCTTTTGCTTGGTTTTTCGGTGAGTTATTTGTTGTAAGAATTGTTTGTGTAAATGGAAACAAGTTCTTTATCAGATTGCTAATCTCTTCATTCCAGTTCCTGCCTTGCCTGTCCAAATAATAGAAAATTGTAATGAGTTTCAGCATGTCTGCCATTGATAGCATGTGCTTTTCTTAAAACTTGAGCCGATTCTGACAAGGATGCTGTGTTTCTTCTGGAACATTCACTGTCGCTCTCCACACTTAGGTCTGTGATCTACTTCGTGCTCATTAAGAGTTAGTAATCTATCTTTTCAGTTGTTCCATCTTCATTTCTTGACAGAACTGTCCGTCTCCCATTTAATTACCTTGGCTTCTTTGTCAAAATCAATGGGCCATATGCATACAAGCGTCTTTCCAAACACACACTTGGTTCGTTTGATCTATGTGTCTGTCCTTAAGCCAGGAGGACACCATCTTTATAAAATGTCGAGTCCTCTTACTTGTTCAGATTCTCCTTACATATAAATTTAAAGGCATCTGAATTTCTGCTCTTAAACTCCACTGGGTGTTGGCAGGATGTGCTGAGTCTATAGATCAGAGGGGAGAGTGTGGTCCTCAGAGTGCTGAGTCCATCCCCTGAGCATGTCTCCTCGTTCATTTTGATCTATAGCAGTGTTTCATTGTTTTACATAAATACATAGCATAAGTTCCATTTTCTCTCTGTTTAATTTACCATGAAGTGGTATCACCTTCCCAGTTTCTGAATCAATAAATGATAAATTCAGACCAGTTTTATTGGTATAAAATAAAAGCTTAAAACTACAGAAGTAGTTGTTTAGTTGGTAGTGTGTCTGCCCTGCAAGCTTGAGGACCAGAGTTGAAATCCCAGTACCTGTGTAAAGAGCCAAATATGATAGCACATATAATTCTGGTGCTGAAGAGGCAGAGACAGCTTGATCCTTGCCACTCAAAGAAACAAGAAAGTTTGTCCCAGAAGTGATGGTACATTCATTCTTTTTTTTCCCAACATAGGTGGGGTTGGGGCAGAAGCATGGGGTTCTCTGTGGGTTCAAGGCCACCTAAAGCTCCATAGTGAGACCCTGTCACAGAAAACAAAAATAAAATTAAGTAGACCTGGCAACTGGAGAGGGACAGTCAGTTCTCTTTGTAACCCCTACTAAGTAGGCCATATTCCATATAAGGACACACACACACACACACACACATCTAAAGATACATAAGCTGTACAAATTGGACTTGAGGGGTTTTTTGTTTTTGTTTTTGTTTTGTTTTTTGTTTTTGTTTTAGAAAAGAAAAAATAAGAAAAGAGAAAAACTGGGCATTGTAGAGCAATGAGTCCCAGCACTCAGGAGGCAAAACTAGTGGATCTCTTTGAGTTCAAAGCCAACCTATTACATAATGAATTCTAGGAGTCTGTCTCAAAAATAACAATAACACCACCAAAAGGTAACGTGGTTGGGTGGGAAGAGAAGGGAGAATGGATCTGTGAGGAGTTGGGAGAATAGGGGTGAATATGATCAAAACATAGTGTATGAAACTCCTAAAGAACTAATACAAATTTAAATCAAATTTAAATGGGGAGCTCCTGATAACCTAATGCAAAGCACAAGGGAAGTGGATATTCCTATCAGTTATGTACCAGTGATTGACCTGTGCTTGGTGGAGTGTCTGGAACCATCTGAATAGGAATCATGGTTATTCCTGTTGTTCTTGAGCATGGCAACCTGAGGTAGTTTTATGTCATTTTTTTTAGTAATATAGAAAAAAGGCTGAGTGTATTGGCTCACACCTGCAAGGCCAGCCTTGGCTGCATAGTGAGTTCCAAGTCAGCCCTGGGCTACAGAGTGAGAACCTGTCTCAAATAATAACAATCATAGGATAGAGGAATATATTAGGTATCAGAGCCACAGCCATACATTAACTTACACATCAACATAGAAGTCTCTTTTAAGTTTTGCCAAATGGTTTGAGCCCTGGCCACACTGTTTCTTCCATTGTTCTATGAGTCTTGCATAACTGCAAAGACACATGCAGTATATGAGTAATGAAATCATCATATCCCAAGAAGTGCTCTGTTTGTTTTAATCTTGTATTGGAGTGGAGGAGTAGAGTAGTACAAGGCTTCTGGTTTCTAATGAGGTGTATATTCAGTATTCAGACAGTTTTACACGCACGCACGCACGCGCACACTTGTAATTCTTCCTTCCATCCTGTGTCAATCCATGTTGTGAAGCCGTGCCTGGGGCTGTGGTGTGATCTTATTAAAGCAGGGATGCTGAGGCTGTCATTGTCAGCCTTACTTTGTTGCTTTGATAACTCTGCAAAGAAATTTCACACTAGAAAGGCATGGAGACATCCCTTTGAGTCTTCAGGAAAGTCTGGCTTTGCCCTGCCGTAGGTGTTGGTGGGCAGAACTGTTGTGTATTCGTGGTTGTACCTCTGTAGGTTCTTCTACAGTGACAGGACACTGAAGGTCAGCAGCCATGGCTTGTGCCTCTGTTATCACAGAAAAAGAGAACCACTGGGTGTTGTGTTCCACTAGCCTGTTTTCATCAAATGCTGTGCCTTTCTTTGTAGGTGAAGCCTTGAAAGGAAAGATCACAGTTCACAAGAATAAGAAGGATCCTCGTTCCCTCATTGTGACCCTGACTTTGAACAATTCAACCCAGACTTACAGTCTCCAGTGACAGTCATGGTCTCCAGCTGCCACAAAGTCTGAAGCACACCCAACTGTCTGTCTTTAATGTGGGATAGGGCAGTCATTGGGAGGGGCGGGCTCCATGGGGCTGTAGCACGACTGGTCCTGGCCCTGCAGCTTCTGGGTAGTAAGCCTAGATAAAGCAGAGAGCTCAGTGGAGGATCCTGCCCTCCTCCCTCCTACTGCTTCTGCTCCTAGAGACCCTAGTCACAGAAGCCTGCTTGGCCAGATTAGCTGAAGAGATTTCCTCTCCTGCTAGACTGAGAGTCATTTGAATTGGCTTACTTTTGGAACAGTAATAGTCCTGGTGTGTGTGTGTGTGTGTGTGTGTGTGTGTGTGTGTGTGTGTGTGTGT